GGAGGCATATCATACGTTTTCCACCATTTTTTATTAATATAAGAAGTTTAAGTATTTACGTCTAGTCTGATTCTATGAAGTTTTGACATAAACACGTACCTCAGAAAACCATTGAGTTCTTTCGTTCTTGCTACCTTTATTTTTCCATTTTTCTTCAGCAGATAGTCTCTGCTTTGCCTGCGAGGATATTGCTGCAACATCACATATTGATTTGGATAGGCTATCGACATCAATGTCCTTCACTGGACGAGTAGATGATATCTAGAGGCAACAGCCTTTGTAGACTTTTTCCCTTATGGGTGAAACTGAGACTTTCTGTTTGGTATGAAGTGTAGGTTTTAGTCAGAATGCAATGAATTCTACTTGTTTCTAGATGTGAGTCGATCAATAGAAAGTGATCAAGTAGGAAGTCAACTGTCCAGCGTCTATGCAAGTACATACACTGTTTTTTGTTTTGCTTTTTAAATAAAGACTGTTTTACAACATGCGTACTCTATTTTTTATTAGCTTAACTGCAGTCATTTAGTTGAATTCAGATTTACTCTTTAATAATCCTGCACGAATCTCCCGTTACAAAGTGGGTCTATCTAATATTCGTGCGAAAATAAGTTCACACTAAGAATACCGTGCAACTATGAAATATTATTATACCATAAAGAATTATGGTTGTTCTTAAAAACAAAAAACAAACTAATAAACTATGTGCAGCATGTAGGTTAGTTAAACAATGATATTTGATGAGGATTTAAATTCAGGTTATTTTATACTATTTTATTAATTTCGTATTATAAGTTTTAAAGGTTCGGGGTTTGAAATGAGCAACTGAGTGCATTGGATTAATTTTTAGAAAATGCAGCTAAATACCACATTGAATTTTTTACTTACTATATACTCCCTATTCGACATTTTCAAATTACGAAACAAAAAACGAACAATTAGGACTATTGATTTATATAAACCAATTTTATTATAAAAAAGTAGAAAACACATCACACTTTTCATTTATGCTATATAAACATACCAGACATTTTCTGCCTTCTTATTCTAATATAGTATTATTCGAAATATATCAGTTATTCTTGTATATTCATTTTTCACATAACACGTGGACAATTAAGTCGTTAAGTTGATTTTATTCTAGCTGCCTTTGTTCCTTTGTCATTCTATGGAGATAATATGTGTTCTACCCATTGGAGGTATAGCATTAATGTTACACATAGTGCAAGAATGTAGAGAGCTGTGGGCTCCAATAGAAAGTCAGGTGATATCTTAAGATTACAACCTCCCTTATGCTTCATTTAGAATAACCAATAATGTGGATAGCGCGAGTTTATCCGGTAAAACTGGTGTTACCAGTTAAGTAACGAACATTTATATATACTCTCAAAGGAAACAGTTTGGTATAGAATCTCAACTGATACAGTTAGGAGAAAAAACAACTTACGATCCAATAGAAACAACAGACCAGCATGTAAGCTTGTCTTTGTATTACTTAATAAAGATTGCGCATTTGTATTATACATTGTGTCCAGTTTCTTTATTTTATTCTCACAAACTCAGTAGATACCTTGTTGAATCTCCTGTTATTCAGTGGACTTAGCTCATCACTCTTAGAATAATCAGTTTGACCAGAATATAACAACTGACTGGATAATAAGGGGAAAAGTTTGGTTTTACAGTGATAGAATATCTTATAGCACAGTTTTCTGTTTTCTTTTTGTATTGCACTTTACTCCTACTTTTGTAGTCAAGCTTTAAAAAAGCTTCATTGTTAAGGAAATGGCATTTTAAACAACTTGAATGACTTGTGACTCAGAGGAAGAGTCAGTCTTCTCCAGGACATTTGAGTCTTACCAATGCTGCAAAAAAACCATGATTTCTAGTTCACTGCAGCTGAAGAATGTATAAGAACAGCCGCCAGTACCTACTGAACCTATAGCAGCTGTTCATAATCGTTCCCTAAGTGTCAACGTCAGAGTGAGAGAAACTGAAGACTGAAGGTCGTTACAGTGGTGTAGCACCTAATGAGTCTAAGACTGAGTGAGCTAATCTGTATAAAACTCCCAGACCTTTGCTGAGGAAAGTAACCCAACTCCAGCACTGATCTGAAACACATGAGAATGTCGAGAAAAGGCTGGAAGTGCTGTTTATGCAAAATGTCTGCCAACAGAAGATATCTCATTGACTAGTGAGATGGTGGGCACCAAATGGTGAAGTAAATGAACCCTGGGGCAGTGGTGAGCCTCTTTATGTCTGACTGTGCAATCGTGGATTACAGAGTTGCCTGTAATCATGCAAAGCTGGCAATGCCTCCACCAGAATGTTGTCCTGGAAGGAAGGAGCAAAATATGTGCTTTTCCTGTAGAGCATTGGGTCATTTTTGAGTGAATTTCCCAGCCAAGGGTTAAAACAACCACACATTCATCCTGATGGTGTGATACAACCACACTGATATCCAGTAAATGGCCAGGGCTATCTCAGTTTTTTTCATGGTTTACATGCCATAGTCTATGTCAATGATGCCTCCACCTGGGCATCATCCTGGAAAGGGGAAGCGTAGCATAGCCAAGTAGCAAGGTAGACAAGGCTATTGGTTTCAAACAATGGCTCGACAGATGCAGTAGAGCCAAGAACAAATAGTAAACAATACTGGTATAACTCTGAGAGCCCAAGTTATGACTGGCAGACAACTAGGGGAGGAGTGCAATAGATAGTTTGCACCAAAAGGTTTGGTGGTCAGCAGATGTCTTTCATTGCTGAGTGAGCCCTGGTACATGCCTTTCAGAGTACAAGAGGGAGAGATAGAATTTTTTAGATAATACAGAAGTGGCCAGAACACTCATAAATATCGTGGAATATCAGGCATTCCAAGAGAAACCGCCATTAGAGCCAGTTGGCACACACTTCATTCTTGCAAGTGAAGATAAACTAGTCTTGAATGGAGAGATGACACTTAGATGACTATGTTTAGGAGGTGTCATTTACAGAAGAAAGCTAATTGTTGCTGGCCCCGGTTGTGGCATTAGTATCTTTGGGGTGGAGGTAATATGAAGTTTATCAATCAGTTTTGTTTATGCAACTGGTGATCTTATGTTCCTTGGAAAAGTTATCCAATGCCCACCAGACCAGACCTAGAAATAATGGACTGCACAAGCGTATGTTGGAAAAGAAATCACAGGACCCCATATATAAAAGTGGTGTTCTATGGTTTACTACAGACTAATTCTAGTTATTGATACCAGACAAAACTGTTACAGATTTCGCTTATGATATAACCCATTTCCTATTCATAAAGAAAACAGTATTAGATCCAAACAAACATGAAGTCCAAGTGCTGTTTTGCAATTATGGACGATCAACTATTCTGCTTCATCCTGGAATTGTAATTGCATGGTGAACAAAGTGTAAGTAACCGAGGCTAATAGTAATGCTAGGGCTACATCCATTGTGCCACATCCAAGGTGAATACACAGTTACTAATACGTCTGAGATTTCTAGTTGAGGATTTTGCAGACAAGCTAGACTTAATGCAACAGCAGCAGCTCAGTGACTTGTTGGCTGAATATGCCAATGTATTTGTAGGAACAAATGGTCAATTGGATTGCAAAAAAAAGCCCCACAGCCCAACATAGTTACAGGTGATGCAAATTCAATTAAAGAATCACTATGCAGGCTTCACTAGAGTATGAGAGATGTGGCCAGCATTAAGCTGTAGTGGATGTTATAGAATCCTACAGTCTTTAGAGAGTGTTTGGTCATCTCCAGTAGTGACTGTCAAAAAGAAGAAAGATACACCCAGGTTCTGATTTGAATTTTGATGGTTGAACACAGTAACTCACATTCACACATTTCCTCTTGTATGAACAGATGAACATCTGAATGTATTGGAAAGGCCACAATGATTCAATATATTAGACTTGTCATTCAGATACTGAAAAATCGAGCTTGCTAACAAGAGCAGACTTAATACTGTTTTAACACAAGAGATAGCCTACATGAGTTTTGCATCATATTATTTGGCTTGTGTAGCATATCCACCACTTTCAAAAGGATAATAAAATTTACACTGAAGAGGCTACAGTGGGAGGAAGAAGTATCTGATCGATATCAACTATTTCTTGTGTTTAGTTGTATGTTCAAGTCTGTGGCAGAGAACCCGGAAATGGTATTCCAGTGGATAAAAAAAATGCAAGTTTGAAACTGAAACCAGGAAAATGTATGTTTATGTCATGGAACAAGAATTGTACATTGTGGATATAAATAAAATCTCCTTAGATACTGCTTAAATAGTAATGGTACGAGACTGGCCTCAACCTGTAATCAAGCAAGAAGCTCACACTTTCCTATGTTTCACATTTTACTATTGATGGTTTGTGGCTAAATATCCCAAGATTGCCACACCACGAGTTACTGGCTCTCACTGAACTTAAGATGCACTTCAGATTTAGTGAGGAATGTGACCAAGCATTCCACTTCCTGATGAATGCCTAAGTAGAAGCCCAGATATTGGCATATTCATTACATAACTGTGAGTTTTTGTCAGACACCAACAAAAGTGATAGTGGAATCAGAGCAAGATGTGTTATTGCAGTTGCAGGATGGAATGGAATATGTAATCACGTCTGCTTTTCACACACATTTATGATACTGTATGACGAAGAAAGACTATTTGCAGTTGTAATCTTTATAAAACATAATTCGTATATTATTCAAAATTCATCAGTTATTCTGTTATTATAATTATATATCAGTTATTCTCTTATTGTAATTATATATATCTAGTATTCTCTTATTGTAATTATATATATATATCTATTATTCTCTTATTGTAATTATATGTATATCTATTATTCTCTTATTGTAATTATATATATATATATTATTCTCTTATTGTAATTATATATATATATATATCTATTATTCTCTTATTGTAATTATATATATATAGTTATTATTCTCTTATTGTAATTATATATATCTATTATTCTCTTATTATATATTAGTTATTCTCTTATTATATATTAGTTGCTCTCTTATTATATATCAGTTATTCTCTTATTATAATTATACATCAGTTATTCTCTTATTATAATTATATATCACTTATTCTGTTATTTATCAGTTATTATCAGTTTTTACATAACACAAGAAAGTTGTTAAGTTTATTTTCTTCTGACAACCTTTATTCCTTTCAATAATTTGGAGATAATACCTGTTTTGCCCAAGGTAG